GTAATACAGTTGTAACTATTAGTGTCACTATTCCTTAATGTGCTAGCTCTAGGCACTGTGCCTTCTAAAGCTCTCTGATGGCCGTTTCCTTGACTTCAGGTAGTTTCCCATAACTACCAGTATTACGCTAAATACTAAAGAGGACCCTTTTGCAGATTTTCAGAGATCTCATTCTGTGCAGATCTATTCTCTCGTATATCCTATCCAGCAAATTCCAGATCAGGAGTTAGTAAATAGCATATATTTAGGGCTTTGTGGGTCATATGGTTTCTGCACTATTACTCAGCTCTGTGGTTCTAATATTAAATTGGCCACAAACAATATGACATATATAAACCAACTCTTTTCAAGTCACTGGCCGTCAGGGAACAAACGACCTGTGACAAATGAAATGGTGTGACTGTCTTTCAGTGAAACTTTATTTACAATAATAGTCTATGGTAGTTTGCTGATAGAGGCTCTTCCTTGGTCTTACTGGACTCGCAGTTCTGTCTCTTTTGTATTCAACTTGGACTCCCCCTCACTGCAACACAGCCTAGAAACTCTTTCAAGGCAATAAACGGAGACAATTGTAGGGCTAGCCTTGTTTGTTTTTTCCATCTGTTGAGAATCGTGGTCCTTCATTCCCTGAAGGCCAGTGACTTGAAAAGAGTTGGTTTATATATTCTGGGGCTTTTTGTTGTTTGTTTCAGGCAGGATGGTAAATCTGATCTCTCTGTTATTCCACCTTGATGGGGAGCTACTTTTCAAATGGAATCTCCAGATATACCCAATGAAACTAAAGAATATTATTTTCACAAAAATGTATGAAATCTAATTGAAACATGGTATATGTTTGAAACATACATCTTAACTATTTTCAATGTTCTTCATTTCTTTCCATCTGGTGTCAAAGGTTCTCCCCACCTTTCTTACAATGCCTTTAAAGGTAGAGGACGACAATTATATCCCCAGTAAAACACAGGGGGATTCTATGGATCCCAGTCACCTTTCTATCATGTATCAAAGCTATATTTCTGTTGAATGGTCTTTTGTTACCATTTGACAAAGAAAACTCCGTAAACTTACAGAGGAACTTCTCACATGCCCATGGATTATCTTAGAAAGAAGTTCAAAGTCTGACCTCCCCCTAGCAAAGCTAGTTAATGTCAGCAACTTAAAAATATGGCTGCCGCCAAATTACCTGAAAGAAAAGGAGGAAACATTATTTTTTCCTTAAATAAAAACTTTCCCAAGTCAACTCAGTAAGCCCTGTTTTTAATTTACAATTTGGGAAGCTTTGAAGCAGACTAAAGAAAGTTATTGTCTATTTTGGGATCATATTCAAAGCTGGTTGATATTTGTTAGCGTCTTCTAATGTTTATCTTTGTTTTCAGAAAAGGAATACACTGAAATAAAATGACTAATTTAGAAAAGGTAATTATAGTATGCAGTTTTTTTTGATGGGAGAAAAGTAGTGTTAACACAAAATCACTAATCTTCTCTGCTATAATCATTTTATAAATCATTCCCAAGATTTTTTATAACCAGGACAAAACTTTATTTTTGGTATTAGATTCTTGACTTTAACTTTTACTGAGATATATATAGCAAGATCAGATTACCATCTGTTCATTTACTTTGCACATATAAATTAATCAATTTACTCAATTAAACCATACAATTTGCTGATATTTTACTTTTTTTTAGCTTACTCAAAATGGCAATTTCCTATGGTTTGACCTAATAAGAAGTTACTCCACCCACACAGTGACCTGTGAAAGGCACACTCTAGTATGATTTAGTTTGCAATAAAGCAAATTCCTGGATTTTGTAACATTCTATTCACTTAATATAGGTAGGAAATGCAACTACAGTTAAGAATACAAAATCTGGAGTTTTTGTTATTTCACTTCAAAGTTAGATAAGACATCTTTAGTGTTCAGGCAGGGTTCCCTTTCCCTCCCCCACTAGTCACCCCCTTGCCACATATGCAGAACTCTGTTTATCAACTAGCACTGTATTTATTATGATTATAGGACTGAAAGGGGAGTGGGGATTCCTTGCTAAACATCCTGCTCTCCTTCTCTCATCTCCCTGAGACAGTCTCCCCATTTCCATTTCCATCACTCTTTGTCTAATATTATTATAATTTCTGGAGTTTGAACAGTTTGCTTCACTTGATTCACAGATCCAAATACAACCAAAGAAAATACTTGCAAAGTTTGTGGAGTTTGCATTAGAATTTTACTCCAAATGATTATATTTGAAAATACTTTTAGTAATATATTTACCAACTGTCTTCAAGTTGGTTAATAAGAGATGATTTTTCACTATGGTTAAGTAAAACAAAAATCTTTCTGCATTAGGTATGGTACACCTATGTTTTAAGAGGTCACAACATTTTTTCAAATGGCTTTAGTAAGGGAATTAAAGAGAAAAGCAAGAGAGTAATAAGAAAATCTTTTTACATGAGGCTATCACTTGCATAAAGGGCTTAACAGATGGGCAGGTAAAGGTTTTCTCTAAACTGGCTCCAGCACTGCTTTTACCAATTGTATTTCAGGCTTTTACTCCTTTGACACAGATGTCCATGTTTTGTGTACTTAATTGCTTCAGTCATGTAATATACTGTCATGTCCAGGACTCTCAATCAAATAGCCTTTCTTAATGTAAGAAAATGTGATTTTAAAATCCAGGCTAAATCTGTGTCTCTACCCTCAATGTAAAGAAGCAATATAGTAATTGTTACAGAATTACCTATCTCGTAGGTATTTTTTTTGCCTATTAAGTTTTATATATATATATATATAGTAACATTTCACAAGATAAAACAAAATTACAGTCAGAATAAATATTCCATTATTAAGTCCCTGAAGTCTGTTATTTGAAAATATGTCCTTTTAAGGTAAACAAAGGTACAGAATAATGCTCAAATGCATATATTTTTTACAGCTTTTAAAGGCTTTAGCATCACTTCATTGATCATAATAATGCCTTTGTAAGAGCAAGTATCATTGTTGATATTTAGATTTATCAAGGTATTGACAAGTGATTTAGAACTGGAATCCAGGGCTTTTTATACTTATCCCAGTGCTAGTCCATCTGGAATTCAAAAGGTCTGAGATGAAATGCACCATGTTACCTATTTCAGCTAGAAACCACAGACTCATCAGCAACTTCCTTCATTCAAAATGTCTCTAATTCTTTTCTACTCCAACTCTGCAACATCTTACAGGTTTGTCTTGTCTTCTCTGTAAGACAACATTATTTAAAGCTCCTAGATCTTGCTCCTAGATCATGGAACTTCCACATACCTCCCCTCCTCTGAACCTCCTATTATAAAACACTGCCGAAGTGGACTTCCTGAAGTGCAATTCTGATGGTGTCATTCCAGTGCTTGAAAACATTTGATGACTTGCTCCTGCCTACAGCAGTGGGTCTCAAAATGTTCACTTGGGGATTTTTTTAGTTCTGAGAATTGCACAAAGGTGTTTAGAGTTGCTAAAATCAAGTAACATCAATCAGCTTAATTTGCTAGAACAAAAAAAACTGAAAGATAGAGGTAACTGCATTTGTTTTTTGCCCATATCTTTTTCTTACATATGTGAGACTTGCTACTGTTTGTCTACTAAACAGACCTATCAAAGTAACAAAACAAAGAAAATCAGTATTAATTCTGAAAGATTCAACTACTTAATTCAATGATTAGTTATTTACCCCCTATTAAGAGAAAGAGGTAAATGTTCTCATGATTTTAATTTGATATTACATAAATGTCATGTTTTTTCCAGTTCATATGAAAGATTTAAATACATGCTTAGATAACCTAGATCCTAACAACTTTTATGTATTCTGCTTCTTGTACCAGAAAATCATTTACACATATTACCTCTCTGTGAAGGTTTTGGCTCTCAGACTTCAATGTACAACCCTTCACTGATGAACCCATCTCCTTTCATTTTACTTTTTAATTAAACAACTGTCTCCCAAATTAGTGAACGCACTGAGGACTGAGTAACATATAAGTCACATTTAAATCACAAGAGCCTGACAGATAAAAGTCATTCAATAAATACATGCTGGAAAAATCAGCAAGTGTAAGGAAGCAAGACTGTCAACTATTTGTTACAGTTATGGAGTTTCATAACTTTAGAGCAAAGCCAATAAATACATTTTTTGTTACCATAATATGTAAAACATTATAAACATAAAATAAAACTGGTTTAGAAACACTTACTTCATGCTATATAATATAGCCAGGCAAAATAATAAGTTCGATACAACGCAACTCCATTAAAAGCATGTCAATGTTGATTTTTAGGAAATTTCTTAAAAATATGCAGTGCTCAAGGCCATCAAGTTAAATTAAGGATCCAGTCATTTCTATAAAATTCAATTATAACTGTAAAGAATTTTGAATTCTATGACCATAAACTGGATAATAAATATTAAACTGTCTTTTTATGCCTCCCCTACAACAATGACTGTTTCTAGCTCAATCTACATCTTCTCCTTAAGTGAAAAAAGAATTCAGTTCAATCTCTACAAATGCTAGGGCTTGAATATGTAAGTAAATTAATGAACAAAAACTCAACAGAACTGCAATCGTAACTTTATCACTGCAAATAACATTCTATAAAAAAGAAAAACCTGCTGATACAGTTTCCACAGTGAAAAGTGCTTAATTTTCTTCATGTCAAAAATAAATACCAAGTTTTTTGAAAGTTTATTATATCCTAGTACCCCCTTTTTTTTTAAACCTTTGAAAGCACAGCAGATATTCCCTCACTAACTTATATAATTGCAGGGGTATATTTCCTGGTAGGGAATATGAACACACAGAGGCATACTTAATGTGTGCTGGGGCATTTGTATTAAACATCTTACTTGCCTCAGTGTGATTGTTGATGGGCTATGGCCTACGGACCAGTGGTAATATGCATGGTGGCATTAGAAGTCAGTATTTTAGGAGGAAATCTCAAAATACTGTATGGAAGGAAAAAATGAGAACTACTTACGGCCAGCAAGCAGAAACTGATAATACTGCACTGCATCTGCAGCAAGGAGCAGAGGGTGGTTTGCATTAAATGGTGGTTGCAATTCATTCCATTGAGGAGTTCTAAAGGAACAGCAGAAGAATATCAGTATTTAAGCTTAATAAATGGGATGTGACTCACCATCATTGTCACCACTTACAGATACTGATATAAACTCACACTATCTTTATATCTTTATAATCATTCAAATGAACATGATGGAGGGCTGAAACCTGAAACACAAGGCCATCTGCTTGAAAAAGAATAAAAAGGTGGCAGTGAGTCATACAAATTCCATAAAGCCAGTATAAGCTTAATAGCAGAAGAACCCGCAATAGGGTAGGCAAGATTTTCAAAACATTGGATAGAGAGGAAGTGTGGAATTCAAATGTCACAACTAAGTTGTTGTAATTTTACCTAATTTCTGACAATTGTTAGAGCTCTCTATTCTTAGAATATATGTATATTTTAAAATAAAGCAAAGTAGGAAAAATTTTATTTCAACAATGACGGTTCAGTAATTTTCATTAGATCTGCCTGTTCCTAAATAGCTTGATAAATAAGATATTAATCTGATCAATTCAGTATAGTAAAGAATGCTGGAGCCTTCAAAAATCAATATAGGAATATTTTTAAATGTCAAAAGAAGGATCATTTTCATATCCACTTTTGCCTGTTTCCATCCATACATTTCAGGACCAATTTTTTCTCTCTTTTACCATTGTACACTATATAGAACCAGTTTTATGCTAAATTTTTATTTCTCCCTCTCTATACTAGCTTATAAAGTTTCTAATGATTAGGTAATTTTGAGAAGGACTCTGATACTTATCAAACATTTCTACAGTGCTTAACCATTATATCTTGGGGAATTACTTTAAAAGAAACCTTCAAATATAATTCTATTAGCTTCCATTCCCCTTAATGGCTATCTCAATGTACTTTCTATTTTCATTGAGTATAAGACTGGAAATAGGGGAAGCACTAAAGCTTTATATGTGGACAGAAAAAACCAGGTCCTAGAAAAGGTAACACAAAAATGCAAGGGGAAAAGAGTTCAAAAGGAGGCATGTAACAAAGACAACTGAAAACACAGGCACACACAAAAATTCGTACGCAAATGTTCTCAGAAGCATAATTCAAAGCAGCTACAAAATGGAAATGTCCATCAGCTTATGAATAAATTGTGTGGTATATCCATGCAATGGAATATTATTTGGCCATAAAAGGAATAAAGTTCTCATATGTGCTACAGCATAGATGGATCTTGAAAACAATGATAAGTGAAGAGAGTCAGATGTAAAAGGTCACATTTTGTATGATTCCATTTATAGGAATTTTCCAGAGTAGCCATATCCATACAGACAAAAAGTAAACTGGTAGTTGCCTAAGGCTGAAGGGATGGGAAAAATGGAGAGTGACTGCTAATGCGTACAGAGTTTCTTTTGGAGGTGATGAAAATTGACTGTGATGACGGTTAAAATTCACCTTCAATGGGCAAATTGTATTAATATAAATTAGTCTCATTTTGAAAAGGAATTACTGATACATGCAACAACAGGATGACTCAAGTTTGCTGGGTGAAAGAAATAGGACAAAAAAAAGAGTATACATATACTCTATGATTCCATTTATACAAAATTCTAGAAATCATAAACTAATCTATAGTGACAAAGAGCAGACCAGTGGTTACCTGGGCACAGTGGGTGGGGTAAAGAGGGGCAGGAGGAAGAGATTACAAAGAGACACGAGAAACATTTGGGGGCAATGGATATATTTTAATGTTCGTTATGGTGATGGCTTCACGGCGGTATAGATATATGTCAAGCCTTATCACATTGTACACCTTAGTATTTTATACTTCAATAAAGCTGCTGAAAAGCATGAAAGGAGGTCCTACCGAACCAGAGTCCAGCTGGCTCGAGGTGATGTCATCATTTCCAGTGGGGTGTCATCACTGATCTTGAGGGCGGTGCTGAGCGGCCGTGGTTCCACCATGTGCTCTACCAAGGTCCCATAGCAGCTAATAATGTAGAGAGATTCAACTACAACTTGTTTGGACTGATCTATAAACAGAAAAACACAACTTGGATATGTGTGACAATGGCATAAAAGGAGCACAGCAGTATCTCTATAAGCTATTGACCTTTTGGTCTGTCCTGAGGCTCCCAAGAGAAAAAAAAAGACAATAATTTTTTTACATGGTGCTGCTCCTTGCCTGAAGGTTGCCTGTTAAGTAGATGCTAATAAATATGAAAATATCAAAATATTTTTAAATCTTAAGCAATTTAGTTCAAGAATGATGTAAGTATACTTAAAATTATAGTGAAACAATATTTTACAGTCTCCTGTATATATCTACAGTGTAACTTGTCCCACAATATGAAAAATAAACAACATCAGGTGGGACAGGGAAGGACTGACTGTGTGGACTGAGATTCAGTGACATCAGATGTACTGACTGAACTACATGAGAGACTCTTCATAGGCCTAAGTCAGCCTAACTTCTCATCTACTTTCTCTCAGAAAATTTTCTCTTTGAAGTTTCTGGATTAAAATAAACAAACAAATGAAAAATACACATGTCCTCCTCCCCAAAATCTTCTTTTCTTTCAGTGGGATCACAGGCTCCTATCATAAATGAAGACCAGTCATACTTTGAGGTCAGGTGCTAAATATGGACCTAATCAAATGACTTTATAAGAAGTTCATATGTCCTCACTACCAAAACAGGGTTAGTCTGCTATCTTGGATTTTACAGGAAACCTAGGAGCACATGAAATCACTCACGAATGCTGGGTGGGGCAACTTATCTCTGTGCCAGGGGAATCAATTACAGCTGACTGGAGAAAATGGCTTAGGACCAGTCAGTGGGACATAAAGGAGTAGCAAGTTAAAAGGGTAATTAGAACAGAAGGGAGAAGCATTTGAAATCGAGCTTCACAGAGGGTTTTAACTAGTAACAAAAAGTCATTTTGATAGCATCACTAAAGCCAAGGCGGTAACAAAAAAATAAAGATGGGATAAGAAAATGGAAGGCTTGCGTGCTCTACTGTGTCCTCTGCCTCTTAGGTAAGGAACCTGCTGTGCCTGAGATCCTGTTTCCAAGGAAAGGGTCACTGAAAGGCGATAACAAGGGAACAGGCTAACATCTGACTGCCAGAAGTAAGTGTAAAGGAGAGCCATTTTGCCAAGAACAATACAGCCCAAGGAACTCATCAGAGAAGTGCCTCGCTAACTCAGTTTGTGACCTACTTTAATAGGACAAAAATAATAAGGGAAAAATCCCAACATTCAAAATTGAATGTTTGGCCCACGAATGTAGGCATTCTCTTCTACACAGAAACAATAAGGAATAACATACTAAAACACCAATTATATGAACATTTTAGGTGTTGATCCTAGTGATCAAAGCAGGGGTTAAGATACATATAAATGCAAAGGAGCAATGGTTACCATGAATGATAAATCTAATGTCTTATCTCTAAAATAGTTCCATTTCAGTTTGATATATAAAATAAGGGATTGACAATACAGTTGATGGAGAAAGAATGTATGATAATAAAGAGATGGTACAGAACGGAATCCTGAAAATGCTCTCAGCCACAACACCCTGTAGAGTTAGACACGGTATGGGCAGGATGTCTAACAATGCAATGCAATTATATTCATTAACCTTCCCATCATTTATTTTTCCTTCATGAGTTAGTGAAAATGATGTGTCTATGTTTCTTTCTAAAAATAAGCATGTTTTTATCTTTTGGTTGATAACATGGCAGAGTTGTTGATTTTTTTAACTGAAATACAAAAGACATACAATATTTTATTGGTTTTAGGTGTACAACATAGTAATTCTATTGTGTTGACTTCTTATAAACTAGATTCAGCATTAGAAAACCTGAGTTTCAAACTCTGATACAATCACTTACTAACCAGTGCTTTTAGCTAAAATATTTAACCTCTCTGATCTCAAGTTCTTCATCGCTAAAATAGGGATAACAAGGTTTTTCCTCTCCACACCTCAGAAACAATGGTGTGAAATCAGCTTGTCACAAATGTAAAAGCTACATATAATGGTATGGAATTGAGAATACCTGTAGATTGTTGCCAATAAAATCATAACATTCAGTGGTCAGTTTATTTCACATCTGTGGTAAGAAGATAACCTTTTGTCTTGACTAGGCTTGAATAGTTAAGGAGAAACATGCTAATGGAAAAATTGGGTTCAATATTATTCAGGGAGAATTGCTATCAATTTTCCTAAAGAAACAAAAGTTACAAACAGCAAGTTTAAGCTTCAGTGAAACTACATACCTTTTTCTCTTTTCAGACCTGCATTATTTGCAAACCATGATCTGGATGTCCCAAACATTGCAGCCACGCAAAATTCTCCGCCCATTGATTTGCTGGGTGAAATTTGTGGAGGTGGTTTAACTTTGCTTAAAAAATAAAATGATAGCAAAAAAACATTAGCAAGATGAAATCAGTGTCCTCAAGATAATGACATATTTTCCTTAAATTCCACCCCGAAGTATTCAAACGCTCCAGCGTGGACATGCATTTTCCCTAAGTAATACCTGGTGGTGTAAGACTGTAGGAAAAGTTCTGCAGTAAAAGCAAAATTACTTCTAAGTTCCAGATTACTACCAGAATGGCAATTTATAAGACCAATAAAAATTAACTCCTTTTTGAAGTATATGCTGGAGAAATCCAAATCACTTCTTTCAGGCAGACAACATTTTCCTGGAGATTTCAAAGTGGAATAATAGAGCCAACAGAAATATCTCACAGTAAGAGCTGATCATTTCATTTTGATACATAAGATGTGATGATACAGTTGATGGAGACAGAATGTATGAAAATAACAAGACAGTACAGAATAAAACCCTGAAAATGCTCTCAGCCACAATACTGTGCAGAGTTAAACAAGGTATGGGGAGGAGGTCCAGCAATATGATGCCATTATATTCACTGATTCTCCTGTCGTTTATTTTTTCTTCATGAGTTTGTGAAAATGGTGTATGTTTTTTTGTTCTGTTTCTCATATGTTTGAGCTTAAAGTACATTAAGCTACTTTACATAACTACCTTTAAAAAATACTTGCTTTCCTTCTTTGTTTCCTCAAATCAGCATTCATATCAATAATGTCTAATATCAACTTTTCACCTTCTTTCTAATCCTTTAGTTCTCTTCTCTTTTGATTTGTCAAAGCTTCCCCCAAACTCCTTAGCAATTTTGCCAGCCACCTTAGATAAATGGCAGTATTGGTTTCTCTAATCCATAGATCAGAGAACAGCCTCACTGAACCCTGGTCAAGTACCCAGCCCAGCGGGGGCCCGGGGAATAACAGAGCTCTGATGTTCCTCCTCTGCTTGTCAGTCTCCAGTGTCAAGTAACATTATTTCCACCTTCTTTGGCTCACTATTCTTTATCTCTCTACCTTTTAATAAAATATGGTCAGATGGAGAAAGCTTGGTTTTGGGAGTCAGAAAAAAACCTGAATCTGAGTCTCAGTACTGCCACTTACTAGCTTAGTAGACTCATGGGTCAGTTATTTAACCTCTCAGAGCCCAGACTACTAATGTGTACAATAAAAACAGTAATGCCTATCTCATAGGGTTATTTTAAGGATTATTACATTTGTTCTCAAAGTGTGGACTCTGGCTAGTAGTACCACCTTCAAAGTTCTTGGACATGCAAATATTCACCAGGCCACACCCGAGAACTACTGAATCTGAAGCTCTGGGGGTGGGACCTAACAACCTGTGTTTTTAGCAAGCCCTCCAGGAGATTCTGGTGCATGCTCAGGTCTGAGAACCACTGTATTAGGTAAAGTGCGGATGGGTCTCAGGGTGCTGCCTTCCCATATCACAGTACTCAACAATGCTAACACTTCTGTATAACACTGCCTTCACCTAACTTCCAAAAAATCAGACTCTGCTTTGCTTTGCTCATTTCGGTTTCCAGGTCCTTAAAGCACTTGAAACAGTCTCTCACATACTTTATTTCCCAAGCCTTCTGTTTTGACATCTTCCTGCTGGGGGAAAGCAAAAAGTCTGGATCAGAGGCCAGTGTGATTGGTCTTTTCAGTCTCCCTTTGTATCAAATCCACAGTTAGCGTACACTGCCACAGATGAAAAGGCCTCTTCTTTCATCATTAACATTTCTGAAACTCTTCACATCACCACCCATAAGAATCACATCCATACCTAAGAACACCAACACTGGTCATCGTCAGATGTCCACTGAGAGGGGATAAAGACACAGTTTTTTACAAAGTTTCTGTGAGGAAATGAATCTGGTTCTACAGTTTCACATCTTCCTCATTGCATTTGTCACAACTGCAAAAACTACTGAAAAGAAGACACCCCTCTACCTCCGCTTCAACAGCCGTGCACCTCCCCTTGCAGCAGCACCGTCAGCCAGCGGCAGAATTGTTCTTTCTGGTTACGATGTGCTCTGTTGTACTGTTTTCGAAAGTAAATTTCTCTTCAGTCTTTATTTCTATCAGTGACTACATTCAGTGAGCTGTTAAGTTCCTGTAATTAGCGTGTGTCAAGTCCCATTGTCACTTTTAACCCTTTTTGGAGTTTTAGGAAGTTGGAGGAGAAAGAAAGAATATCCCAGAAGTTTTTAAAAGGTGTTTCCAATTGCGTGACTATGTATTTTTACTAGAATCACTATCTGGGAACAAAGATACTACAATGTACAAATAAGCTTCACAGGGACAAATCCAAAGCTCTTTGAAAACCACTGAATGCTGTTTTTATTTTTTGTGTTTTAAATCATGTGGTAAGCAACAAAACAGGAAATAAGTGAGCATGCCGTCTCGAGACAATGGAGCATCTAAAGAATGCATCCATTTAAAAATAGTTGCTAGTAGGCTGGACAGCTACCTTTATAACATAATAATAAAGAGCAGAAATATGATAGAACATCAGTTTAGTGTTTGTTCATGCAAAAATGTATTCTATATATTTATTAGCTTACAGTCCAATAATCCAATATCAAAAGCTAAAATCTCTTACACTTCTAAAACATTATACATAGCTTCTAAACACACAACTAAAAAGCATCAACACAGTATCATTTTACATAAACTATCTCCTGAGAATAAGGGTCTTACAGTAAAAATATCCTTAAAATTATATAAATGATAATTTTTATTCTAATACTTCATTACTTCTTTTTCCTTTGATAGGGCCTTAAATAAAGTTCACTAGTAAAAGTTTGTGTTTAATAAGTAATTAAAAGAATTTTCATCTACTTCCTATGTGACATAGTGCTATCTATGTACAGGTATGGAACATATTTAGTGAATATATTCAGAATAAGTCATTTCTATTATCAATCCACACTTGGAATGACTATGGCATTTAAGCAAAGTAGAACATAAAAATACATAGTATGCATAGGATATAAGACTTCCAGAAAAATAAAAAGGAGAAAGAATCTAAAGAAAAGACTACTATTAATCAAGTATATTCTACTTGGGATATACCGAAAGGGTATATCCAATCAAGTGATATACCCAAAGGGAGAAAATTTAACTTTGACTCAATTTACTCTTCATCCTAAATTTTAAGAAGACCAAGACCAGGAATGTTGGTTGGAAGCAGAATTGAACTTTTCCACAATGACCCAGAATATTTCTGTTGCAAAATAACCTTTTGTTGGCAGAAAGATAAAACATTGAAAAATGACACTATGTGAAAGGAATAAAGGGGGAAAGTGCTAGCTTGTAAATCATGTTCACTTACAGGTTGGTGACCCGGCCATTTTAGGAAAGCATTCCAATACCAGCCTTTTTTTCTTTCTTCCTCTCAGTATCTCCTTTTATCCTCTGAAAGGGACCTAATAAATCCCATTCTAAAACTTTTGCAAATTTAAAAAGAATACCTCTGGGTGTCTGGAGGCCTTCTCTCAGTTATTTATTAACATATTAAGCTAATAATACAACATAAAAAATAAAATTTCAGTGTATATGGGGGGTCTAGAAATGCAATTGTGTTGATCATGGTCATAAATGAGAACAAAACATACTGATGAGAACGAAACAAACTGACAGTGCTGCTGGACTCCTTCCTACTGAGAACTCCTTATTTTTCCTCCCCTGAGCCTATCATAAATAATCGCACATTCAAAACTTTTTTCAACTGTGGCTTATCTTTGTGAGCAAAACATAAAGGAAAAATGCATTCAATTAAACTTTCATCACATCAGGCAAAATAAGATTATCACAAAACATTGTATTGACTAAACTTGATACAAGAGAATAACATAATAAAAAGTAAAATACACAAAGAAACAAAAACAAAACAAATAAGATGGTAAACTAAAACTCAGGAGTTTAACGTTCGATCATTTCCTCTTAACCATCTAACCATAGAATGAGAATCATTTTTACTTCCATCAGAGGTTCTGGGGATTAACATTACGGCATCTTTAAAAATATTTACAAAGACTACTGAAGTTACCCATTGACTTTTTACTGTATTATGTAATCCAGTTATATTAACATATTGAATTTCTCTTGCCTGTTTTTTTTTCTTCCACACTCTATTGCAAAAAGAAAAAAAAAAAAAAACTCTGATGATATCTGTTTTAAAACCATAGGAAAGTGACGTCCATCTGGATCATTTTTACTATGTCCTATGGAATAGGATACAAGAGGTGTGTCTGTGGATGGCATGAAAAGCAGTGAGGTCTGGTGCCTTGTTTAGGAGGACACAGCATGGAAAGAACTAAATTGAGATAGAAGCACCGTTTATTTCCTCTAAAACAGAAGGGTACACAGTCAATATTTCCGTTTAAATGTTACATACAAAATTGATATAAGAATTACAAGTGATATGATGTCTTTGTGTTAAAGAAAAAAAATTTTCTTTATATTCCTCACTGTGATTTTTTTTTAAAGGAATTTAGAAGTTTTCTCTCACTCTCAACCTTACTTATCTAAAATAAGAACTAAAAGAGACAGTATTTTATTTTAAACAAAGACATTAATAACATATCTAAAATTATTCTATCATGAATTATTCTTAAAGATTTAACAGATTTATGTAAATTTTGCAGAAAAGATTCTCTTTCCCATACAAATCTTTCCTTTCAAAAATTGTATTTTTTAATCTTCTCAAGAGAAAAATTAATTTAAATGAACTATTTATTTATAGATCAAATACTCTGACAGTGCTAATTAAAACTTTAATTTGATATGTAAATTTTAGTTCTTTTTAAAATTAACCTTATACAATATAAAGACAGGTTATGAGTAAGCATATATTCAAAGGGATCTCCTTTTCTCCACACTGACCAGAATATATTATTTCTTTGATAAGCACTTCAAAAATAACAGTAACTTAAATACAATACTCCAGGCACATTAGGAGCTCAATAAATACTTGTTACTGATTTGTAATATTGAAAGCAAAATTCATTTTTAAAAATTCACAATGGTTATTTCTCTTAAAATTTCTGTATTAAATAAGTATATCATGTGTGATTCTTTTACATTATTTTATGCCATCATTGAAGTTGAAATATCCTGAAGGATATATAATCCCCCAAACGTATGAAATGGCTAAAATGCTGAAGATGGCCTGTACAGCTAACTTTCCAACAAACTTAGTTTATTATCAAAGGGAAAGGTGTTATTTTGCACAGACTCATCTGAAACTGCATGAATTTAAACACTTATACCAGTTTACCAAAGAATGAAGAAAATGAAGAAAATGATCTATCAAAAGCAACATCTTAGGTAAATATAAATATTGCAACCTGACTGAAAGTAATCATTTTAAAGAAATTTTTATACATAATATTTTAAGAACTACAATAATTTTATATTCTTCCAAAATACAAATATTGCCCTGCAACTGAAAATACTATACCATATATATTTAGCATACTATTTCATTTCATAATGGTAAATAAAAACATTCTCAGGTTGAAAACTAAATATCATGGAAAAATAGCAAAAACTGTTAAGACAAAGAAGCTCTTATAAACAACAGGGAAGAAGCTGTCAAATGCATATTCATTTTGCTGCTTTAATTTGAGGTTTCATTAAGATCTTAATGGGAAAAACATGCACCACCAGGAAAGGAACGTATTTTAAAGGAGTATCTTTTAGGCCAGTATAAGTGACTAAAAACGAGTTTCTTGTGAGCTAACGATGGCATCAAACAAACCACAAAGCAGTCTTCCAAAAGACAGGCAATGATTTAGAAGTCTACTATATTTCATATATCCTTTTCTTTAATCTGGCTCTTTTAATCTTGTTTCAACCTCAAATCATTTTTAGTTGACAAGTGCTTTTGCTTAAATTTGAGGAGCGCATAAGCTGTTGATAGAACGGACTTTTCTTATTTAACATATAACATTTGTTACTCCATCTTTATTTCTATGCTAAAACTTCAATCTTTATTAACACACTAATACTCTTTGCTTTGTACTTAGAATGAAAACTTCATCCTGAGATGGAGTTTAATTCTAAGTTTAGCCTACAAATAAATTTTGTCATATGCTGAATCTGGCATTTAAAAACCGACAGCTCACTCTAAGCTCCTAAGATCCATGTATTTTATTTGTTTTTGGAAGAAATCTGGTTAAACAAAAAGAATAAAGATTGACTTTCATGGAACTTTTACTCATTTACACCCTGAATTGTTTAGAATAGTTTTATGAACCATGTCCTAATTTTGCTGCTGCATTTCAAGGAGGAAATTTTATGATGATTTGTCACCCTATTCTTATATGATGATGAAATTTTCAGATGTTTCTGTGGCACATGAACACTGAAATTAGTTTCTGTCAAATTATAGTATACCTTTAAGAAGTTTCAGCTTCTTTTTGTCCCAGAAAAAAAGATTGGAAAGTTTTGTCTACTATAATGGGACAGTATGAACAATTCCCAGTAGCAGTTATAAGAACTACATATGTATGTAGCAAAACTCTTTTAGATATTCTAACTAGATTTATAAAATTGATACACCTTACATTGCCCAAAATTTTCTACTGGCCCAATTATTTTTAAAAGCAAACAATGACCTGATTTAAAGGAGCTTCTTTTTAAAAATTACATTCATGGTAATAGCAGCTAACACTTATTGAGCTCTTACTATATGCCAGGCAGTTTTAAGCTATTTATATTGTTCACTGAATCCTCACAATGAACCTATGAGGTAGGTACTCCTGGTAACTCCATTTAATAAAAAAGGAAAGCAAGAAACAGAAAGTTTTTAGAAAATTCACAAGATCACACAGGGAGTAAGTTTAAGAGTTGGGATTTAAGACCTAGGCAGTTTGATTCTGAGCCTGTTAACCATTATGTTAAATAAACCAGATTCTAAAAACATTCTACTTACATATCTTTACATAAAAGTATTCAATATTCTCACTTTCTTTTCCATGATTATATCTAAGACTGGCAAAGTTATATTTTTATGCATTATTACATAAGAATTTACTAAATAAGTTATGGTGAGAATGTGCTAATAACTCAAGATAATAAATTAGGAGTTTTTATGTGAAATAAAAATTTCCTCTTTGTGCTCCTTAAATACCTTAAACTATTCAAAGCAGAACTGACACTTGTTCTCATTCCCAAATAAGATGAAGTAAAAATTTCTAGGGTATTTTTAGTATATCTTAAATATATTTATATTTCAAAATAAATCATGCCTTCAAATGTTCAGCCTGAGATGTAGGAACTTCTACCACTGTACTACTCAAAGCTTTAAGCTTGGGTGTTAGCCTTGTCTAATACACTACTAGCCATAGGAGAGAATACTTCTAACTTCTTTTTTTTAATATTAATTTGTAATTTTTTTACTTGACTTTTCAAGAAATGAAGTGAAACCAAGTAAACTGCTTTTTTAAAACTTAAATATCATCATTATGTCCCATCTACAGATCACTCAGTAAGCCGGTGCATCTATCTGTGATCAGGCCATGCAACTGAAAACAAAAGTACAAAACAGAGTAGTCATTTTCTGAGAGTACAGCAAATGAATTAGGCATGCGGGACTGAACTGGGACTCACCATGGAGCTTTTATGGAAAAACACCCCGCTCCAAACAGATAAGGCCTTCATGGAAAAGGGGGGAAAATGCACAAAAAATTAGAGGAAAACTCATTTAACATTAACAAATACATGCACAGCATACTGTTATAGATTTTGGATAAAATAACTGAAAAGATTAGTAATCATTTGCAATTCTGCTGTTGAGACTAATTAGTCTGATATAACCAGTAAACAGAATGAGGTGTAATAACAAGTCCCTTCATTTTCATAGGGTTAGAGATTTCGAAATGTTGTTTCTCCCCCTTTTCTGGAGCACCCCTGTAGGGTTCCCTAAGGGAAAAATAAAATGAATTTCACTTCTGAGGCCATTTAAAACAAAGTACAGGTTAAATGGAATAATCAGATGGAGAAAAGAGTGGCATCAATAGCAACAGAGGTGAGGTTGTGTGACACAAAATGTTTAAAACTAGCTAAATATGACTCAAAAAAGTAGATAAGCATTGTTTGCTGTTCACCGGTTGCAGTCTGAGAGTCAGAGAAAGAAACCACATATTTTCTAAGCTGCTTGTTTAATGTAAGTTGACCTGCATATCGCCAACCAAAGGAACAAACCCTAAATACAAGTAGTATAACTTATTTCCATTTAGGGTCATGTTCAGGGAATTAATGTTTCTCTTAATAGTGACACAGGAGGTCAGCTGCTTCTGCCTGGCCTGCACTGGGCTAGGCTGGAATACAGTAAACTAAAGCCACAACTGCTTTTCTTAAATACAACTAGCAATACAAATTCAGACTTTAATGCTACACATATTTCTCTTTAATATTCTGTTCACAGCATTTAAGACATGCTATGCATATAAGCACACAAAAAAGATGGACTAATTTAGTTATATCCAAAACAATATGTTGCTGTGGCATCTGACATTTGGAAGGAAGATGCAACAAATCAAAAAGGAAAGCACACTGGCAAAACCTGGATATTTTCAACTTTGGTGCTACGAACATTAAAAAAAAAAAATCCTACCACTTCACATAAATCTCCCAGTGAGTCGAGTGTATTGGCCACAAACTGAAAGGGGGAAAATGCTTTCACAACACTGAGTACAGTTTTCAGGACTGTATCAAAGAAGATACAGAGAAGGGAACAGAAAAGTAAGAGATACTAATTAGAAGAGTGATTTGGAAGAACCGAGATATTGGGGAAGAAAAATAAAGAAAAGAAATTTAGAGATAGTATAAATGCAAAGCAAGGAAATCTCTCACATAGTTAATGCTAAGACTACAACCAGAGATATGTCATCATCTTCATTCTTTAAAACAGTAGATTTCAAACGTTTTTTAACTGCGACCTGTAGAAATATATTTTAAGGTGTAAGCTCTGTACATGAACAGAAATTGAAACACAAATTGAAACAATTCAACTAATGAGTTTTTTGTTTGTAATCAACTTTACTATTTTCAATTTCGATGTTTTGTAAACATTAATGCTGGGATTTAGTTACACTGAAGATTAATACATATCTAACAGGTAGGTCTGTATACAGCTTGAGATTCTATATTTCTGACAAGTTCCTAGGCAATGCCAAAGCTGCTTTGCAGAACCAGGAACAAAATTACATTTTATTCTATTATATTTCACTAATTTTTTAAAAAGTTAGTCACAGTCCCCTTATCTTATTTCATGAATCACTATCACTGATTACAATGGAAACAAACATGCTTCCGGAGTTCATCCTGCACTATGACAAACATCAATTTAAATAACTGAGACCATTTGAAGATCTAAAATCTCAGTAACATGGAGATGCCATGCAGAAACAATCAGAAAATGGAAGGTTCAGTATGCTTCTGTATGTCCACAAATACCTCCAAAATGAAGACGTGATTGTTGGCACAAAGAACCCAGCATCTTTCATTTTCTTCATTAGGCAGGACACCTGAAATAACTATACAGTCCAAATGATTCTGACAGAATCACTGCAATATGGAATATCTAGGCATGAGTTGCTCTTCACTGCATATTGTTTCAACACTGGACAGTCTCCCATCTCATTCCAAATATGAGAATACAGCTGATGCATGGCAAAGAATTTGAAAGTTTTATTTTAGTCTTTTATGATTTAAAAGGTTTCTCTATTGACCCCAAAAACCAACCAAACAAACATGAAACAAAACCTAAGTTTCTACACTTCACAAGACCAGCTGATGTTCCCCACCCATAAGACCCAGTAAATGCTTTTTTCCAAGGTTAGGTTTCCTTATATGTAAAAAGGAAACATATATTAGCCAAATAAATTAAACAGAAGCTTAAAAAATCTCCTAGGTTTTCCTTTCCAGGCAGTAGCAGCATGCTACCAAAAGGAAGATTTCTACAGCCATTTCCTTTCCAGCAATCCCAACTCTCCAGACACCACACTGTCAAGTTTAAAGACAATAAGGATCTCACTGTTCACAACATGACCCAGTTGTGTGAGTCAAAAGTCATTCTTCTTCAGTCAAATAAGGATCTCCTGAGTAACACAACTCAAGGAGAAAATAGACTGCGGGAACAAGGTGAGGACCCACTCCTCAGGTCCCCTCGGCATGCTCCCAAGCTAAACTCACCCACCTCTTATGCACTCTACAAATTGGAACTCTGCCAGGTACATGTAAAAAAAGAGCCACAAACCCCAAAGAATTAGAGTGACTGACGTAATTACTGGCTCTGTATGGGTAGTGTCAGCTGTTCTTTTGAAATGTGCCTGTTTCATCTTTCCTCAGTAGCAAAAGAATGAAAATATAAAGTCACAAAGGACAAGTCCATGATCCAGCTGTCAACACCTATGACTCACCCTTCTCCCTCCAAAATCCCACAGTTATGGTTTTATATGAGGGTGGTTAGAAGGAGTAAAGGAATATGCGAGTAAAGGAATATGTTGAATTAAAATTGTCTATAGTAACATATGCAACTCAAATTATCATATTCAGATATTAAGAACTTGTATGTTTTCATAACACTATTAAATGTCAGCAGGCTTAATACTCCTGCCATATAAAACCTATTCACTTTGTCATGATTATGTACTTTTTAAGCTGAATTCTGACTAAACACATCAGGACTAACCAAGAGACTAAAACTCCAGAAATATTTACTATAAACTTATTTATAGTCCAGCATGCAATGACTTGGCCACTGGTTCTCAAAGGGTTTCTTCTAGGATTCCCAGAAGACAGGAAGGAATTGTGTTTTATACCATTAATGTTATATAAGTCTTTGAACTGATTCATTCTTTTTGAATGCCACATAGCACAACAAAAGCTTTGGTTTTACTGGCTAAAAATAAGATACATGTGAAGATTTTTTTAATGTAAGGAAAAGGAAAACAATTTGATTTGGGAGCATGCTGAAATCCTCTATAACCCAAGTCTAGGACTAAAAGGTATTAATGATTAGGTTCAATCAGCTTCAGAGTTAAAGAACTTAGTTCTCTTAGTTGGAGTCTAGGAGAAAAATTCTATAACATACTCTGAAAGTTCTCTTTTTCAACTAATCAGATCCTACCTGAGAATTCAGGCACTATCACATAGTAGATATTAGAATGAGCCCAATATCTACTGTGAACAACTCTTTGTTAATCAATGGGACAATCAAGAAGAAATGGAAAAATTCTTAGAAACATACAACTTACCAAGACTTAATCAAAAAGAAATAGATCAATTACTGGTAAGGAGATTGAGTCAATAATAAAAAATCTCCCAACAAAGGAAAATCCAGGACCAGGTGGCTTCACTGATGTATTTCACCAACATTTAAAGAAAAATTAACACCATTCTTAAACTCTCCCCCCAAAAAAAAATCGAAGAGGAAGGAATGCTCCCAAATTCATTTTACGAAGCCAGTTTTATTCTGAAATCAAAACCAGAAAAGGATCGTAGAAAAGGAATAACAGGCTCATATCTGATGAATGCAGATACAAAAATTCTCAATAAAAAGAGTAACAAATCTAATTCAGCAGCACATTGAAAGTATTATTCTCGATGATCAAATGGGATATATCCCAGGGATGCAAGGATTGTTGAATGTAAGACAAATTAAGAGAATGAAAGAAAAGATCATCTTTATATGATCATCTCAATAGATGCAGAAAAAGCATTTGATAAAATTTAACATTCATCATGATAAAGATTTAACAGTTAGGCATAGAAGGAACACATCTCAACATACAGGCAACTTCATTTCAGTGTGCTTTGCTTTATTATGTTTTGCACAGATATTGCATTTTTCACAAACTGAAGACTTGTGGTAACCCTGCATCAAGCAAGTCTATTGGTGCCATTTTTCCAACAGCATTTCCTGACTTCATCTCTCTCTCACATTTTGGTAATTCTCCCAATCTTTCAAACTTCTTGATTATTATTATACTTGTTATGCTGATCTGTGATTAGTGATGTTTGATGTTAATAATTATTTGGTGGCACCACAAAACATACCCATACAAGATGGAAAACTTAATTAGTAACAGTTTTATGTGTTTGAACTACATTGGCCAGCCTTTCCCCTCTCTCTCTTCCTCTCCTCAGGCCTTCCCATTCCCTGAGATACAACAATATTGAAATTATGCCAATCAATAATCCTAGCAAGGGTCTCTCACTTTAAATCAAATGCTAGAAATGATTAAGTTTAGTGAAGAAGGCATGTTTAAGCTGAGACAGGCTGAAAGCTGGGCCTCTTGTACCCAACAGTGAGCCAAGTTGGGAATGCAAAGGAAAAGTTTGTGAAGGACATTTTAAGTGCTACTACAGCACAAGAATGATAAAGTGAAACTGCCTTACTGCTCATATGGAGAAAGTTTTGGGTGGTCTGGATAAATCAGACCAGCCACAATTTTCCCTTAAACCAAAGGCTAATCCAAAGCAAGGTCTTAACTCTCTTCAAATCCAGGAAAACTAAGAGAGGTGAGGAAGCTGCAGAAGAAAAGTCTGAAGCTGGGAGAGACTGGTTCATGAAGCTTAAGTAAAGAAAACATCTCTGTAACATAAAAGTGCAAGGGGAAGCAGCAAGTGCTGATTGAGAAGCTGCAAGT